CACAATTGTAAATGTTATTTAGAGAAAAATGACGGCGTGTCCTTATTTTTTTCTTACCTTTTCTAGGCTCTACTTAGTTGTAGGCACGAGAAGGTCAATTCCACGACTTAACAAGCTGTCAGACAGCGTCCATGTTTCAATATTTTAGAATAAATCTACGACTTCCTATCCAGGCCGCGTAATTTGACTTGCTAATGGTTGACTCACGGAGCGAAAAAAACGCTTATCTCCAATTTTTGTCGGTTTCACAGCTAGGTTTGCATAGTTTACATGGTTTTGTGCTTCTGGGTCGATAGTCGCACCGCCCAGAACAACTGACAGCAATTTGTTTACAGCGCTAACTTCCCGAAGAAACTAATTCGCTTGTGATGGTTCCCCCGAGCTTATCGTGAAGTTTCCGTGAAATTAGTTTTACCATCATGACTTGTTCTTCTTCTGGAAAACAATCCGTGAAATTGAAATTTTACCTGAATTTGTATGCTTAACTTCTTGTGTCCAAATAAAAGATGAATTTGACTGTTGATAATATATTCGATTTGCCTAAAATGTATGTTTTATGTTAATATCCGTTTTATTTAGAATGCAAGAAATTAAGACATTAACATAAACTCATGACTTGATACACTGGCTATTTGAATAGTGCCTACTCAAGATTGTATTACACTAACATAAATGACAAATTGCTTTGGGCTTTGCTACGTCTGTCAAAGTCAAAGAGGAAAGTACTCATTAGAAAAAAAGTTCAACAGAAAATCATTTACAACCCATATCCCTCTTGTGTTGTAAAGGAGCACGTTTGGAATACACCGTAAAATCACCCAATCACTTGTCATAGGAAAATGGACGGTCGGAGTAATTTTTTGAGAATGTTTACCGCGATATGGCACCTGTTGCCTCTCACACCTTTCTCCAGATCTAAATGTTATCACAGAGGCGGTGTCCGCTTCCATTGTGGGCAGTAGCCTGCCAAATCTATTTGATTGTGAACGATACCATTCGCCCTGCTAATGAACTTTTTAAAAAATTCTCCCAAGCCTCTTTTTTGTGTAGTAAAACAGTATAATTTCAACAATTACTTTTAACCCTTCTTTTTATTTCTGCCGTTTTTGCTTTGTACAATATAATTCTATTTCATCTATCTATTTGATCTTTCTGAAACCCCAGAAAATAAAACAATTTCCGCTTTATGTGTATTTTATAATATGTGTACAATGGTTGAATAAACCATATTATTATTATTATTATTATTATTATTATTATTATTATTATTATTATTATTTCGCTTCATTGAAACTGACACACAGAAAATATAGCATAGCTAATGAAAAAAAAAAATCCCTAAATTAAAAACACATTAACTTGGACCAACATTAACTTGGCGTAATAATAGCGGCGTCACCAGGTACAGTGAATGTCACCCTCTATCATAAGTGGACAACACCAACGGTTGAATGGCCAGATCGGTGTTAAACGTAATCCATGAGGTCAGGCCCGAAAGGGATGGTCATTTATAATACGGACGCTGACTGACCACCTGCGACCGTTAGGAGAAGCTAGGTAGCAGGTAACGGTCAGAGGACACGCGTCAGTGGACGGATGGTCACGCACGTTTTACTGACCACCGCTGACTGGGGGGGGGGGGAGGGTCCGATGTCCAGTGTGGTGGTATGATACCACATGTAGGTGCGTTAGTTCCTTCCTTCCCCTCTCCGCCCTCTCTCTCTCTCTCTCTCTCTCTCTCTCTTTTCTGTTTTTAAAAATCTCGCAGTGTAATCTTTTTACTTGAAGAAAATCCACATTTAAAAGCTCAAGTCAATTTTACATCCTGTTTCCTGGGATTTATAGTAAGATTTATAAGGGGAAACATATGACACATATAGTGTTAGATATAAAAACGCAATCTCATTTTAATTGTCTTTTATGATTTGTTTCATTTCTTAATATTTAAAAAGGTCGGGATATATAGCTTCTTCGTTTCATTATAATAAAAACAAAAGAAATACCCTTAACTTTCAAACAAAGGGACATAATTTGCTTGTCCCAGTAAGCGTCATATAAAATGCACCTTGAGGAGGGTTTTTTATACATACCTATGCAGCGTTCATTAACTTACCAGATGACCCTTTTCTAGCAAATTCCGCACCAAAAGACGCAGACGACAATTCCTTGGAAGATAAATCTCAGTTCCGGTCTCTAGCGGTGTTCCTAGGGTGAAATGCGTGAACCAAGTGTCTCGGAAGTGTGAAAACGTGTGTTCGCTGCCACCATATAACTCAGATGCTAACCTTCCCTAACCGAGATAAATCTCTGTTTTACCGACATCATTCATAACTTTTTAGACTTAAGAAAAAAAAACTTCTTGGCCACACACAATACAAGATTAAAACAACCAAATATCTAGCGTTCTTAGAAGCCGTCTAGGGTTAGACGTCTACTTCCTTAGACACTCTACGGTAACAAATTTCCGTGCTTTTTGTACCCTCTGTCTTCCATTTAAATGACTGTGACACCGAGGATTAAAGCGTTCTCTCCTACTGGTGGATGCCGGAGCAGTTCGCGTGACAACCTCTCTCCACATGAATAGATAGTAAAATTGTGACAAGATAATGGATGAGGCCAGACCAGAAGGAGTTGAAGAAAAATGAAAAACTTGCCAACACCACTACGGCGAATCTATTATAATCTGGTTGACAAAACATCGTTTACTTTTTCATAAACTTTTTCATAAGTTCATAAACAGACAAATTGTGATATTTTATTACATTACTAATTTTGATATTTTATTATGTTTTAATCTAGATTATATAGGACAGGCGATGGAATTCCTATGGTGTGTTTTAACGTGCTATCAAAAGCGTATCTGTGGATTTAAATGATGGCTCGGGGATAAGTTTCTTGAACGATCTACTCGTTAAGTCTCTCTTTCTCGCTCTTTTTCCCTTTAATTCCTGTTGACAATAAATCTAACCTTAAAATATAATATCAGATTACTCCCATCCTTCTCTCTCTCTCTCTCTCTCTCTCTCTCTCTCTCCTGTAACAATAAAAAACAAACATAAAATCAACTTTGCACCCCCACTCTCTCTCTTCCCTAGGTGTAAACAATAATTCACAAAGGTCACACATATCAAACACAGCAGTTCTATAACCACACTCTAAACTTAAAAGTCATCACAGGGGTGAGAAAAGTCAGCTCACCACTTTTAAAACATTTACTCCACCTTTATGCTAATGTGCCATCTGCGTCCCAAAGCCCCCAGGCAGAAATGTAAAAACACAAACGCCGAGTAAAGGATGATCCAACACCGACATTCCGGAGGTCAGCCGGTGCATTTGGCAACTCTTTAACATCATGTCCTTTTCATCCTTATGTCACTCTACTGAGATACACAAAAACATGTCAATATTCGACAGAGGGCCAAAGTTCTTGCTTATTTGGAGGGGGGTCGGGGGTGAAGAAAAATGAAAAAATGCAACGCGTCTCTCATCAAAAATAAAATGATAGACGTCACGGGATCAATTTTTACAACGTTTTGTAAGGCGCAGGGATGGGAAATAGTTTGGCTTTGCCTCTTTTTTTATTGTTTAATTGTTCTTGCCATGTTCTTGGATCCTCCACTAGTCACTGACGGTGATATACAGGAACCTGTACCACATGGGAACACTAAGAGGAGGAAAGATGACAATAGGGGTCCCAGAGAAGAGAAAGGGATAAAATTGCCCCTCCATTTAAAGTGAAAATTTGATTGAAAATGAGAAATGTCTTATTCTTCTCATTGTATACATGTATTTACCAGAATGGATACACGGAATCAATTTACGCCTTATATAGGGCCTGTTTTTGGCCCAGTGGTGAATGCAACCGTATTTTTAAAGGAATATTCAAGCATATTCTGTTATTCCTTAGGTGATACTTTAAGGGCTCAAGATAAAAGCAAAATTACCAAAATAACGCAATGGATACATCAGATAAAACACTCTTACATCCTGCTCCTGTTACGACAAACGTGTTCTAATATCTTTTTCTGATGATAACTGAACCTGTCTTTATTTTAATATATTTTTTTCTACATTTATGAAAATGCATATCTTATCAACGGTGTCTTAAGTAGCACGAGGGCGCAGCTCATACACACGCAACTCTCTTTCTTCTTAAAAAAATAAAATAAATAGATTTCTAAAAAATGCCCCAAAAATGCAATTCTTTTTAACAAAGTCATCAAAGCTGTAAACTAATTCGTCTCTAGCTGGGATATCACTGGGGTAGGTCTACATCTGAGACAATTGAAGAGTGATATGTCTCCGTTTAAAGTATATTCATAAAGAAATGAAAGGACAAAACACAACAGCAAAGGGGGTCCACCAGTCAAACATGTCATTCCTACGTATTGGATTCCAGATATCAAACTATGGAATGTTGTCCTGTTTCGAGAAAACATATGTATCCTGCTGTATTTGTTTAATTTGATCTGGGTTTCTCATGTCGATGTCGTGCGTTTTGTGCAACAAGATCATGAAATTCAATCACTCTGTGCTCGTGACTTTTTAAAATCATTTTTTCGATGTTATTTCAAATGTAAATGGGAGGAAATTAACACAACGAACAAAAACCATTCTAATGTATAAATCAACAGGAATTAATCTCTAAGACTAATGCTGTAGAGGTACTGGATTCAAATTAAATTCTTATTTAGATGTTTTCATAAAAATGAACTTTTAAAAGGCGAATTTTAAAAACCCCTTTATAGAAATCCCTATCACAAGCTTGAGCAGCAGAACTTGTAGTTAAATAACTAAATACCTAGCAAGATACACTCAAAGAAATACATGTCATGTTACTTATCAGTTTAAAAACATCGTTAAAACACCCCTCAAATCAGAAAGATGGTACATTTGACCGCAGCTTGATAAATTGTGTTTGTCTCCGCGGTAGCAATGTGTTCCCGCCTCCCTCCCACACACAGCCTCGTTCTCGACCTCCCAGCTTCCGCCCAGTCACGTGATCACACCCAACAGAAGCATTTTCAATATGGAGACCACTTGCACGGGGAAGGGGATTCATATTTCAAACCTTTTCCCCGAGATTCTGGCCTTGATCTTCAGCTACCTGGACGTGAAAGACAAGGGGAGGTCGGCGCAGGTGTGTGTGGCGTGGAGAGACGCTGCGTACCACAGATCTGTGTGGAAAAACGTTGAGGCGAAGCTCCACCTTCGACGGGCCAACCCGTCTTTGTTCCCCAGCCTCGTTCAGCGAGGGATCCGCCGCATCCAGGTGCTAAGTCTGAGACGCAGTCTGAAGGACGTCATCCTCGGTGTGCCTAACATCGAGAGTTTGAACTTGAGTGGATGTTACATTGTGACGGATATCGGCCTTGCCCATGCTTTTAATCAAGACATCTTCACGCTGACCGAGTTAAATCTAAGTCTATGTAAACAGGTCACAGACAGCAGTCTCCGGCGGATAGCACAATTTCTGAAAAATTTAGAGACCTTAGAACTTGGGGGATGCACGAACGTTACGAACACAGGACTATTATATATCGCCATGTGCCTGAGGAGGTTAAAAAGTCTAAATTTAAGAAGTTGTCGTCATATCAGCGACGAGGGGATTAGTCACTTGTCAGGGTTGAACCCACACACCGCCAACGGGAACTTAGAACTTGAATTCCTTGGACTACAGGATTGTCAGAAACTCACAGACCAGGCCCTGAAACATGTGAGTGTGGGGCAGATGTACCTGAAGAGCATCAATTTAAGTTTCTGTGCCAGTGTTACGGATGCAGGACTGAGATTTCTGGCCAAAATGAACAGTCTCCGCGATGTCAACCTCCGCAGCTGTGACAATGTCAGTGATATAGGCATAGGCTACCTGGCAGAGGGAGGCTCACGGATCACAGGCCTAGATGTCAGCTTCTGTGATAGGATAGGAGATCAGGCGTTAACGCACATAGCACAAGGGCTGTTCCATCTCCAAAGCCTCAGCCTTAATGCCTGTAATATCAGTGATGATGGCCTAAACAGACTAGTGGCCACCCACCATGACCTTAAGATGCTGAACATCGGTCAGTGTTCCAGGATCACAGACAAAGGTCTAGCTTTGATAGCAGACCATCTGAAAGCACTGAATTCTATTGACCTATACGGTTGCACTAAGATCACAACCATTGGACTGGAGAAAATCATGCAACTGCCTCGGCTGAGTACTCTGAATTTGGGGCTGTGGCATAAAAAGTGATTATACACCTGACAGGGGGGCTTTATGCCCAGTCCAGACCCCCCGGGGTCTCTCCCTCTGTCCAAGACATGTTAATTAATAGTGCTCCTGTCCAGGTAAAAACTGCCCCGACCGTTGCTGAGTCTGGAAGTCTGGGAGCACCTGTTAACAAAGCCCCCCAAGCCAGGGTAATGGGCCGCCTGGACACCCCTGCGGTCAATTGCCCTCTCAGTTCAGTGGTCACTTTGAGGACGTTAAGAGTGGACAATGGGACAGGGCTTGGGGATGAAAATGGGGTCAGACATCAGTGGAGTTAATATGTAGCCGGCTTCTGTTTAGGTTTATACTACTGTTTGTCCTATTGTGGTATATATTGGATGAAAATTACTTGTTAAGAACAGAAATGGGGAGATCTTCATCTCATGATTTATTATTATTATAATTATTATTTTACTTGATTATAATGCAGTTGATTATCATATTATACTGAAAACTGACTTTCCTTCAAACAAAAAGTAGTTCACATTTTAAATGTGGTTATTTGTAACCCCTTATCAGGCTGCATGACTAGGAAAAAAGACTGCAAAGCAAACCCAGCCTATGTTTCTGTCTACTTGTACTTAGTAGTCTAAAATTTATGAGGCTGCTTCTTATCCAATATTGATAAGGTTTTGAAATGTAGAGTACCCTTTTAGTTTGGTACTAAATATGATTAGCTTTATTAGTCTGTCTACTGCTAAAATAGAACTTTATTTAGCAAGTAGAGTGATATCTTGATGTCAATAATTGTAGATTTGACACTAAGGGTGCATTCCTATAAACACCATGGATCTATGTAGATCGACCAAAATCTTCAGGGATTCTAGCTGAGTGCAGTCAGCTGTACAGATTAACATGCCGCCTCCTGGCATTGGGTAGAATAAAGAAAAGCTGGTGATTATACCAGGATGTTAGAAACAAAAGGAGACAGTTACTACCCACAGAGTTTGATCTGTCCTCGTACACCAGTGGTGTCTTTATGGGAGTGCGGTCTAAGATAACTGAAGTCTAAATGGCCCAGGGAAAGAAACTGCAAAAAAGTCAGTTTTTGTTGGACTATAAACTAAAACTGGTTTATCAAAGACAAAGATGTAAGGAATATATTTAAGTTGCAATATAGACAAGCAGCACATTATAAAGAAGAGCCCGTAGCAAAGAGCTATGTTGTTAAAGTTAAATTAGATTGAGATTCAATATATACAAAGTGTAGTATAGAACACCAACATGTGTTCAATATATTAATGTAGAGAGAGAGAGGGAGGTGTTTGTTTTCATATGTCAGAGTTAATATTCTGTCAACTGAGCTGTAACACAATGGTATACGATACTGATATTTATTCAACAAATGTCATAAAAAATATTTTTTGTATAACCCTCTCTTCCATATTGTATTGCAATCATTCATTTTATTATAATTATTATTTTGTTCATTTTTTGCCAGGGGAAAAATATGCGACGAAACTCCCCGCGGCTGCAATATGCTTTGTATATAAGAACCATTTGTATATGCTAGAGCAAGTTATATGTCATATCACTTGAACAAAAACTGTTGATATCAGTCCATCTTAAAGGGTAACTACAGCAGAATTATTTTTTATTATGAATATACATCTATATCTATACACCTGTACATATGCATAGGCATATATAGGTAGTATTCTGTACATAAGAGATAGGGTTTGCAGGGGCAACCAGTGCAAATAATGAACTATTATTATAACAAGATAGGCGGGGAGATACGCAGCACCCCATCCGTTACTCGTTACTACGATAAACAAAAGATGCAATATTCATTCCGATGGTGTTTGTTTTGTGTGTGTTCTTCGTTCCGCGGTCGTCAAAACCACTACCGTTGATTGGTATTCCGCGAGGTAGCAGTTGACACAAGTGACGCCTTGTTGCTCTTTCTAATGCCTACCACGATTCCCCGGTGACTGGTGTTCTGGTGAAGAAATATGCGGTCNGAATTTAGAAAATAGACATTGCATGTGAACGAAGCCTAAGGGTGCATTCCTATAAACACCATGGATTTATGTAGATCGACTCAACTCTTAAGGGATTGTAGCTAAGTGCAATCAGCTCTACAGATAAACATGCCGCCTCCTGGCATTGGGTAGAATAAAGAAAAGCTGGTGATTATACCAGGATGTTAGAAACAAAAGGAGACATGTCATTCAGTTACTTCCCACAGAGTTGGATCTGACCGCGTACACCAGTGGTGTCTTTATGGGAGTGCGGTCTAAGATAACTGAAGTCTAAATGGCCCAGGGAAAGTTCAAATTAAAAAAAAAAAAAAATAGATGCAAAAAAGTCAGTTTTTGTTTGACTATAAACTAAAACTGGTTTATCAAAGACAAAGATGTAAGGAATATATTTAAGTTGCAATATAGACATGCAGCACATAATAAAGAAGAGCCCGTAGCAAAGAGCTATGTTGTTAAAGTTAAATTAGATTGAGATTCAATATATACAGAGTGTAGTATAGAACACCAACATGTGTTCAATATATTAATGTAGAGAGAGAGAGGGAGGTGTTTGTTTTCATATGTCAGAGTTAATATTCTGTCAACTGAGAAGTAACACAATGGTATACGATACTGATATTTATTCAACAAATGTCATAAAAAATATTTTTTGTATAACCCTCTCTTCCATATTGTATTGCAATCATTCATTTTATTATAATTATTATTTTGTTCATTTTTTTTTTTTTTTTTTGCCGGGGGAAAAATATGCGACGAAACTCCCCGCGGCTGCAATATTCTTTGTATATAAGAACCATTTGTATATGCTAGAGCAAGTTATATGTCATATCACTTGAACGAAAACTGTTGATATCAGTCCATCTTAAAGGGTAACTACAGCAGAATTATTTTTTATTATGAATATACATCTATATCTAAACACCTGTACATATGCATAGGCATATATAGGTAGTATTCTGTACATAAGAGATAGGGTTTGCAGGGGCAACCAGTGCAAATAATGAACTATTATTATAACAAGATAGGCGGGGAGATACGCAGCACCCCATCCGTTACTCGTTACTACGATAAACAAAAGATGCAATATTCATTCCGATGGTGTTTGTTTTGTGTGTGTTCTTCGTTCTGCGGTCGTCAAAACCACTACCGTTGATTGGTATTCCGCGAGGTAGCAGTTGACACAAGTGACGCCTTGTTGCTCTTTCTAATGCCTACCACGATTCCCCGGTGACTGGTGTTCTGGTGAAGATATATGCGGCCNCACCCCATCCGTTACTCGTTACTACGATAAACAAAAGATGCAATATTCATTCCGATGGTGTTTGTTTTGTGTGTGTTCTTCGTTCTGCGGTCGTCAAAACCACTACCGTTGATTGGTATTCCGCGAGGTAGCAGTTGACACAAGTGACGCCTTGTTGCTCTTTCTAATGCCTACCACGATTCCCCGGTGACTGGTGTTCTGGTGAAGAAATATGCGGTCTGGTGGTCTCTCATAATAAGACAACACCCCCCCCCCCCCCATCTCAAATTTATGACAGTCCAATCAATATTTATACTGATGATTCTTTGCGTTTATGATAAATTATGTGACATTCTTTGGGTTTGGTTGGGTCTTTTCTCAGAAGTTTACAACGGTAGACGCCTTCCTGAAGCCTGCCGTCTTAAGTTAAACGACGTGTGATGATGTCACGCACACCTGACTGGTTTGGTTTAAGTCTAGAGGAGTACCGTGTGTCCGCTTCTCCAACGAATCGAAAACTTCCACTGACCTTAATAATATGGTTTGATTGCATTTTTTGATTATAGTTAATTTAAAACGAAATTAATTTGACCGTGAAGATGGGGAATCGAGTCCGTAACTAAAATTATTAATTTATATACCTGGAAGAATTGCAGTTAGATAAAACGGGGGCCACTCCAAGGTATCTAAGATAACAGGACAGGATGTAGCGTTCTTGTCAATGTCACAGTGAAAATACTGCTGTGATTTGATCTAAGAAACAAGATAATTATGTATATATTTAAAGCAGCAGTTATCTTGGATGCTATTTATAGTCAAGCAGAGATTGGTTGGGTAGTTTTAATTTTGGTCACGAATGCAATGACATGCGCCGGTGTGACAGAAATTCTTGTCCGCTAGGAACCGTAGTCCGACCCCATTACTTTGTACAGGTGACATTCGTCCCATGAACTAACCCCGATTTCAAACTAACCCTAATAATTGTACTAATCATATGGGAGCCCGGACTCCCATTACAAGAATACCATCCCTGCCAGTTAGATACACTTAAGAGGACGTAAAGATATCATCTTTAAATCTCTATGACGTGGTAATATAAAAACAGAAAAACTATATTTAACATTTTTAAAGAATAAATAAATAAATAGAGATTAGAACAAAGACCCATATAACTGAGCTATATAAATGAGGAGAAGTAAAATAATCGCTGAGAAGAGATGAATTATTCAAGGGCAGGCTTAGGATAACTTGAGAGCGCTGGTCTGCTACTGGTTATACCGCCACTACTAAGTTTATGATTTATGACCACAAAGCAAAAGGGAAGGCTACATATTTTTTGACAATCAGGTGATCATTTTTCAAAATTAGTATTATTATTATTATGATAAATTCGTGGCAGGAGCAGGCTTGGGCGTTTTTATCTATCAACACAAAGATACATCCACACACATAATATATTCGCACTTCTCGGCTAAGTTTTGGTCGAAGAGAATTTGATGCCGGAGCACAACAGAACCCAGTTTCTGAAAATAACCATTTATAATTGGTCTTAGAATTAAAACTGTAGGCCCGAAAATTGTGGTCTTATCTGTTCTCAAAAAATATGTATGTGAAACTGGCACCGTCTGTGGCCGAGATGACCTTGACCGGCCGGTGACATTGCACTGAGTGAACTCAGCTAGTGTCCTCAGCCAACCTTGACCTCACGGTGACTCCATGTTTGCGTTTCAGAGGACGCGATGACCTGGGGCAGTGCACGCTGCTACCAGGAGTTAAAACTTCAACGTGATGTCTGTCAATTTGTCTGTTTTCTTTACCCAACTATCGCAATCCTGCTGGTTATTTCTGTCCCTGACAAGGGATGTTTACCAATTAGAGATAGTAAGGATCATCGCCGGACCGCCTTGATCATTGTTAGAGCTAATTTCTACATACTGAAGCTGTAACTCTTCATGGTAAGAATCTCCTGCCCCCCCCCCCCTCACACACACACACACACACACACAAACACACACACGTTCTCTCTCTCTCTCTCTCTCTCTCTCTCAAAAAAGAAAAAGAAAACGTTTCCTTTTCTCAAAAACACCCCCATGGTATTCACTTTGCTTTATGGTTAATACAGATGACATAACAAAATTAAACAGTGGGATAGTGTGATTTCTTTTAGATAATAAAAATAACGCGAGATTCGTTCTTTGAGACTAAATTAATCAAATATTATACTGTACGAGAAAAAAGCTACTTTATCGCACTGTTTATTCAGCCTCAGTTTTTTCTGCAAATAATACCCTTGATCAAAATAAAACAAAATAGTCAGCATATTACTTCACTCTCATTTCGTCAACATGTTACTTCACTCTCAAGCGATGATTACGACATTTTAATTATTCCCTAATATTTCGCTTCCGCGCGCTGTATAAGGCAGAAAAGAACACACACGTTGCAGCGCGCCTCGCCAAGCGCGTCTCTCCCGGCGAAGTTTGTCTTCTCTCTCTTATCAGCCGCTAGATCTTCAAGTCACTTAACTTAGATTCATGAAGAATAACTCCAATTTTATTTTACTTATCAACCAAGGCAAACCAAAAGAAAAACCTGAAACTCGAGTCAGGCAAGCGGTGGCAACGCGACCCGGAGCTACCTTGCTAAAAAGTTTCAGCTGTGGAGATCTAAGCCCCATTTAGTCAG